AAGGGGAGGCTTCCTCCCAGACAAGTGATGAAGGTGTACAGGGCAGCAGCCAGGAAACCTACTCAGGCTAGGAAGCAGTGCAATGCAGCACACACCACAGTAACCATCACCCTCATTAATTACAGCACTAGTAAAGGCACCACAGCCGTCAGTGTGCCAGTACTGGTGACTCCACTGGGGTCTGAAGCCAGCCAGCAAAGATGAGGCACCATTTCCAAGTGCATGAAATATTAAGGGACGCCGATGAAATATTAAGAGGTGTTCTTGTGGGCTGGCACCAGCACATCACAGAGCGGCTGGCCGGTCTGTGGCTCAACCCTTCACACAGTCCTGTGACATAGATACTTCAAAGCCTGATAGCCACACAAATTGTTTCTTTTATTCTGATGATGTAACAGGGGAGTTTTTGGATGACCTTCAGAGGCTAAGGACAAAAGGGGAGCCCCATCACAGCCCAGCAGTGGCCATGTTACTGTCCCCATTTCCCAGCCCAGCCTCTTTTCTGAAACAGGACAGGGGATGAGTTACAGATTTAGAGAAATATCCCCCATCCCTGCTTCCAGCAACCCCTGCCTCTCCAGTCAGCAACATGCTCAAAGTGGACACACATACATACAGACAAGCCTTAAATGGTGGACCCCATATGCAAAACCTCAATCAGTGACCTGGTCTATTGTCTGTGCAGCAAAAAAAAAGAAAAAAAGGAAGAAAAAACAGGCAGACTGTCAGAAAAGGGATGCAGCTTATCTTTCCATCAGGTGGGGGGACATTAGTGAGGCAATGGGACTGGCAGGGGGCAATGGGGGTGCTTCACAAAGCCAGCCTCCTTCCCGGCCATACTGTACCTCCCAGAACCTCCCTGAACCACCTTTTAATGAATTTTATCAAAATTACTCATTTTATTTCCAAGTATGTGGTTGAGGAGCGGGCGGGAAATGGACAATGGGGAGAGGTCCCCTCATATCTGCCTCGTGATGCTCAAGATGCTGGCCCGAAGAGCAAAGCCAGGAACAAAGCACCAATTTCTCTAGGGGTTCGGGCAGGCCAGAAGCGCTCATTCCCACGCTACTCCTGTACCCCTAAATGCAGCCACTTAGGTTCTCTAGAGCAGCAAATCTCAACCTGCAATTTCTGAAAGGGTCACGATTTAGAGTTAGAAATGTAAGCATTTTAAAGCCAGCAAGCTCCAATGCTGATCCATGATCAGATTTCCCAGCTCCAATCCTTGAATCTACCTATACAAACAGGTCTTCTCCAAAAGAGATTCTCTCTACCATAGGAACTCCTAAGAAATGTCCCATTGGCAGCAAACGCTCCAAGAACTCTTTCTCAGCCAGACCACCTTTTCCATTGGCTGGTATCCCCCCCTTCCTGATAAAACCCGAACAGTCAAGAAGCCACTGAGGCAGCTACACTAAGGTGATGCCACTGTGACCCACAGCCTTAGCTGACTGACAATCAGGGGCAAAGTGCAAGCAAAACAAGTGTTATATAAAGGGCTCCCAGGAGTCACAGCAGAGCACTCAGCCAGCAACAGGCTGTTCTAGACAATACCGGTGCACCCAGGCAGGCCCACTCCAGGACAAGCTACCTACTCAAGGCAGCCATTCAGCTAGAAGCACAATGGTAGCTTGGGCCTGGAGACAGAAGGATGATCCTCATGGAGCTCACTGGCCCATTAATTAGGAGCAAGCTTTGGAGGGGGGGCAGGATTTCCATCCAGATGCAAAACAAACTAGCATGAACACCCCTCCCCCCACAACTTCTCCAGAAGCTTCCGTTTCCAACACGCACAGGCATGAAAATGAGGCTGCCGGCCTCCAGCTCCATCTAAACATCCCTGTACTGAAGCTAGATTAACACAGAGTTTATGAGGCTCCCAAAAAAAAAAAAAAAAAACATGACTCCTTGCTGGTCTCTCCTCTTGACACCGATAGACCTGGAATGGCTGACGTCACAGCCTTGCCCAGCACACCACTCAGGATGCTTTTGAATGGGACAGCTTTTAGAGAGACAGGTAATTAATTTCTCCAAGCAAACCCTCACAGCAGCCATTTCTGAGGACGCTTAATCATGTCTCAGAGAATATCCACCTTCACTTCCCTCCCCCAGTCCACTCTTCCCAGCCACCCTGCCCACCCCCGCCAAACAGGGGACACCTTTCATCTGGTTCACTTTGTCCTTCCAGCTAAATACAATTGCTGCTTGGGAAAATCCATACAATACCACAGCTTTCATGTTGGAAGACTCAATAACAAATGGAGTGTGTTAAAAGCTTACAGAAATAAATTGACCACAATGGCCTTGCCCACCAAGCATCCTGATACACCTCATCAAGTGGAGAGGTTGAAAAAGCATGCACAACCTAAGGTAAATAAATACACAGATGTGAAAAGTGCTGTTTTAAGGACACCAAGAGTAACACTTGTGGAGGGGGTCATGCCTACAAGGTAAAATACAAGAAAAACTGAGTGAAAAACAGCAATACCTGAGAAGAGAAAGTCAGACACAGTGCAGGTCTGCAAAATGTACTCGGCTGCAGGTTTATCACTTCACAAAACAAACAGACAGGCTGGTGGGAATAAGCTGAAGTCGTGAAGAGGCTGAAGATCTCCCTGACAAAAGCAGGCAGTCGGCTGCTTCTGACAGTCGTGCAGTGAACAAAGTAACATGGAAACCTCACACGGCAGACATGAAGCTGGAGTGGGGGTGGGCAAGAGGCTTCAAGCAGCCAGGGGAAAACATTCAGGGGCAGCAGGAACAGGCACAGATTCATGGGAAAAGTGTGGCATTCCGTGACTACACAGGTGCCCCCTGAACATCACAATCCCTGACCCGGGCCACCCCCCAGGAAGAAGGGAAGAGAGGCAGACAGAAAACAGGCACCGGGAGTCATGGTACAGGGCAAGCCGGGGTCGATTAGGCTCTGGGAAGGGAGACAGAGGCAGTGCTGCTCCAAAGGTGAAACCCAGTGTCAGACATGAGTCTTGAACTGACCCAGGCCCTATCACGAAACAAAGACAGTCCTGCTGCCCCAGGCTTCAAACCATATCTCAGGATGACATTAGGAATAAATGCAGGGTAAACACCAAGGGGGGCTGGAGCTGAGCCAGGGTCTGTGGGTCTTCAGGTCATGAGGGGCAGAGCCAGTGAGCCCATCCAGAGCACCACCCACCATCCAGTGCCTGCCTATCTCACAGCAACGTGGTGGAACGTTGTTACCCTACCCCAGCTCTGCTCATGACCCAGGGCCCACAACAGCATTCATTAAAAAAAGCTACCCCTCTGATTCCACCACATAGACCAACCACAGCTAAAGAACAGTCCCTCCAAAGTATGAACAGGAAGGCCCAGCCCATCAGTGCAGAGAACAGCAGCTGAATATCATCTCCATTAGGCTGCATTAACACATATACATGTTTACGTTACAGGGGCATTTCGTAACCTTCCAACAGACCTGCTGCAGGAGTAAGGCGAATGTGTCAGGAACGCGGCTGTCAGAGAAAGTTCTGCTGCAATATTTCGTGGAGGGGCTTGGTTTGGGGGAATGTGGTTCTTTCATGGGCAGCCTGCTGAAGACATGGTGTTTGAACAGGTACACCAGCTCACTAGCACACGGTTGGGGTCACCACACAGCGAAATTCAGAGTAAACATGCGGAGATTCCGAATTCCTTCCCGTCTGCTTCTGGAAGAAAGCATTGAGAAATCAAACTCAGAGCTGAGACAAAGAGAATGAGCCTGGGTGGATGGGGGGTGTGCCATTTGAAAACCAGTGAGGGCACGTGTAATCAGCACCCCACCGCTCAGTGGAGCACAGCCTCAATGACGAGAGCAAAGGGACATGGGAGTGCAAATGTCACATTTCACAAGCTTACAGCGAAGAGCAACATTCCTCACAATAAGATACCAGGAACGATAGCACCTTATTGGGGTCTGAAGGGGGGTGGGCTGGAAAGGCAGGTCGGTACAAAAAAAGGGGTATGGGGGAAAAGCAGTTAAATCAAGAAAGGCTGACAAACCTGGTGTGCATGAGTGTGTGTGAGCGCGAGTGCATGTGGGTGCATGCATGTATGTGCTGGAAAAGGTTGATTCACAGACGTTTTTATCACTAATTAAAGATAAGCAATCAGCAATGCCATGGTGACCGGCTTAATCAGGCCTTTCTGGAGCGCTGATGTAGAGTAGGAGGAATTCAGTAGGACAGCATGGCTGAAGATGTCACTGCTGCTGGGTGCTAATCATCAGGGCAAGGGAGCCACATCCATCCCCGGGAGGGGGCCGACGGTCGGGTCTGACGAAAAGCCTCACAAACGCAGGAAATGCCAGAAACTTTGGGGAAGTGGGAGAGGCTTGCGCTGCTCTCCACCCCCACACACCCGACGGGGACAAAAACAAGCTATTTGTCACTCAGAATTAGGGTTGGGTACCGAAAACCAGTGCCAATACGGCACCGGTACCTATATAACCGGTATGTACCGGACCGAAACAAAACGCGAATTTCGGTGCCACTTCGATGCCTGAACTGTCGATTGAAATATTTGTTCTCTGGGGCTATGATGACACAGTTGTAATAAGCATAAGATTCATCAACACACGTGACATCATCAGGAAATGAGACCATCCATATGGTCAGTGCCATAGTTATTGAGGAATCTGGAGAATCAGACTACGTGGAGTGTGATGGGGAGCCCCCTGAAATGGGAGACTCCCCTTAAAGTCGTGGTGAAGACTGAGGGTGAAGTTTCACAGTTTTCATTAGCCTGAGGAGAAGCAGAATGTGAAAGACAGAGAGAGCGAGCAAGCCCTTACAGGGAAAGGTCAGAATTAGAGGTCGACCGATATGGGTTTTTCAATAGCCGATGCCGATGACGATATTTAGGAGTCAGGGTCAGCCGATGGCCGATATATGCTGCCGATATTTTTTGGCCGAAAATTGGACGTTTTCCCCTCTATTTGCATGATAAAATATCACATTAATAATAACAAACGATACACAAAATTTCTCAACGTAGCATTTATTGAATACTGACTTGTGTAAATTTAAATATAAACTTAAATAACAAAAACACAATACAACTTATAAACAACTTAAACTTATAAACAATAAAGATAGCAGCATCAGAATCTCTTTAGCAGCAAACTCATTCTTCAGCTCCCAAGCTCACCAGTCTGCTGCAGATATTGCACCTGGCTTTTCCTGGTGTTGGCTTTGTGAAATGCTGCCATACAGGATTAGATTTTTGTTCAGCCATCAGACAGCAATTACTAAAACAGAAGAATAAATGCAAGGTTAGAATTTTTATTATAGTACCTTCATCTTCAATTCATTCTACAATTCCAGTATTTCATGCACATTAAAACAATTACACTCTAATACATTTTGAAGAAAAAAAAAACACTAAGTGCATCATGGTATGATGAGTAGTGTACACTAACATGTTGTTTCTGTTGTTAGCAGACAGATAGCTTAAAGCCAAATTCACAATCAGAATCTAGTGATCCCGGAAAATAAAATAAAATAACTGTCGTATTGCACAGCCTTGTATGCAAGGACAACATAAGCCCCTAGTGATTGTGACGTTGTCTACGTATAAGCCCGTATAAAGGATAGACATGTTTAATGAGGAAACTAACTGCGCAAAGTCATGCACTTTTTATCTAGACGTCTGACAAATTGTTTGAATCTCCTGTCTCAAATGAAAAAAAGTTGCACAGAAGGACCATTGTCAGCATCAGCTCAAGTAAATGGTAACCACGCTTTCGAACAAACACTTTTCTCCGCCATGCATTGTTCTTAGCAGCTCTGTGTCTCCGAGGACGGCGCTGTCTGTGATCAGGGCAGAGTAACGCAACTCACACACGCTGCAGTATTTGAGAGCTGCCTGCTCCGCCCCACACACTCACAGAGTGAAACTCTCCGACACAAGAAAAAAAACATAACTGATAACATCGGGCTCATATGGTAATAATTAAAATGTTAACAATTAAAATGATTTTTAACGATTAAAAAACATCTGTGAGCCCACCAATAAGCGCACAAAACGAACTCTATTAGAATCAATGATCCTTAATGTTACCTGTAAGCTACAGTTGGTTGAAGGCTCATTATCATTACCCCAGTTCCCAATAGCGTAATTCGCGTTTTCTTTTAAAGCAACATTTCATAGCAAACTACTTAAATAAACAGGTCATTGAAAGATCAGAATTTAAGCCTTACCGTTTTATCCCAGGACTCTTCCAAAACTTCTGGCTGTGGTCCTGCACAAGGCAGCATGGGTCACCTGTTCCACAGCAACAATAACACTGGGCTGCCCGCAGACGTGCCTGTCTGAAAATCGGCGTAGTGCACTCGGATATCGGCCGATGCCGATACATTAAAAAATGCTAAATATCGGCCCGATATATCGGCCGACCGATATATCGGTCGACCTCTAGTCAGAATTCCATGTGCTCTAGGCTCTCCCTGTAGGGGGGGACCGCAGGTCTCATGACAACAATCCCAGGACAGAAGCAGGGGCTGGCTCAGAATGGGAATGTCAGCAAAAGCCCCACCCCTTAATGCCACACCCAGATACTCGGCAGTTCCGCCTGTCACAGCTTTACGCTGCCATTCATCACAAGGGGTCAGGCACAGGTCCTGACAAGTGGCTAACGGAGAGATAACCCAGCAGATATCTAGGCCGAGTGTGAAGCCATAAGAGCGAAACTGGTACTCACCCATGGTGGCATGGGGCTCGCTGGGTATCGGGGCACCATGCCACCTTAGCAGCGGCTAGAGCCAAAGGAGCGGTAAAAACGGGTTGGAAGCTGCCGTCATCACTCACCTGGCACAACCCCCCCCCAACCTCCAGAGGATGCCGGCTGCAGCCCAGTCATGGGAAAGAACAAAGAGCACTTTTCACTGTGCAGGAAAGGAGGGGCTTAGTGTCTGTCATGGCAACGCAAACGCAGCCTCATGAGAGGATAGAAGCGGATAACGAGTCCCTCCGAGCAGATCACATCCAAAATGATCAGCAGGATCTGTAGGATCTGTCAGGCATGTATACAGTTTGCTGGGGCACGGTGCCTGGCTTGGGAAACTGAACAATAGCCCACAAACACTTGCACATGCCCCCCCACACACAGATATCTTTGTATTCATACCTTTGCGGGGACTGTCTACTCATTTCTATGGACAAAAACCTAATCCCAACTATGATGACTTTAACCCCTACCCAGCCCTAACCGTAACCGTAACCATAAGTAACCAAACAAAATACAAGATTTTGGCAATTTTTTATTTTTTGATTTATAGTTTATATTTTTATAAAAACTGAATTTTCCCTTGTCTCGACCGAAAAAATGTGGTCTGTGGGAAGTGAACCAGCCTGGATTCACACAGGACGCTCTCCCAGGCTTTACACATGGGCGTTTCACTGCCTTGCTCATGCCCAGTGTCTGAGTATCGTTTTTCGTCACTTTCCTCTCTTTCATTTCCTATATGTTTAAAGAATGCTTCCAGTCGACCAACTCCCCCACTCCACATTAAACCCCCTGCCTGAACAACAGTTTACCACCAGATGCTGATGAAACGAGAGCCCACCCTCTCCTGTACTCCACCCCGATAGGTTACTGTGTAGCCATGGCAACCGAACATGGCATCAGAGGGCAAGTACCAGGCTAATCACATTATTGTAATTGCTGCTTGCCAAACACTAACAGCTTGGAATTCTCTCTCCATTTTATTCAGCCATATAGCAGAGCATTATGTAGAAGGTTTTCAGCATGGGTAATCCCTCAAAGGACCTCAAAGTGGCCAGGACACCATCACAGTGACCCTTCTGCAGAGGGGGCTGGCAGCCCAATCTACCAATTATATTTAAAAGAAGAAGAAAAGGAAAAAAAAACACCCGCCCCCCTACCATACCTTCATGGGACAAAAAAATACCAGAAGAAATGGCCTGAACAAGCAGTCTGTAGCCTTTCACCCCAAGAAAAAGAACAAGGTTCATCTCTCACAACTTCAGCAAGTCAGCCTTAAAAAAAATTCAAACTCCCATTAAGGAGGAAATGGCAGTACTGTGCCGGTACGGCCGACTAATCGGGAGAGTGTCTGCCGAAGGGGGGAGTCCAGCCCAACACCAGAACAAGCTCTTTAATTATTAACACCAGCTCAATACGCGAGTGATTATTTTTCTAAACAAATTCTGCCCCCGGCTCAAAATGCAGCAATTTGATACGGAGCATTACATTTCTGCCATGCAGCACTATTACTCATTTTTAATAATTAATCAAATGGGGCAAAATAGGATTTGACAGCCATGTGTTTCCAGATTAACGCTTCTAGGTGTTATTACGGCAGTGCCCACAAGCAACCAGCTTGCATGCTTTGCATATATTATGAAAAGAATCACCCGGAAATGCCTCATAGAGAGGGTTTAACCATGGCCAGCTAACACAAGTGCACAGGTGCATGCACACAGAGTCATTCAGAACCAGAGTCCCCCCATCCCCATTTATGTTTCCTGTCAAGCCATGTGAACCACTACTAGTGTCTGATGTGGTCTACACTGCAAGCAATGCCCTGAGAAGAGCAACATACTGTACCACTTTAGCCCCCCCACCCCCAAACGGGATTTCCAATCCACACCATGGTTGAGGCAGACCTGGAGTATGCAGACGGCAGACACCCTGTGATATCACAGACTGGCGTTAAAGAAAAGCAGCAAAAATAAACAGCCTGCCCAAAAATGACTATTCCAGGGAAGCCAGCTCTAAGTATAGATCACACCTGTTCATTAGAAGCACAGCCCACTTTTAAACAACAACAAAGCTGTGGACATCGACATTTGCCGGAACAGTTGATAGATCTCCATTTCATTGCTTCTGAGAAGTTAATGACAGAAGTCATTACCATGCACGCATGACATGATTTGCTTCTGGAATGGTTAAGTTTCTGGATTCTCTGGAAATCAGTAACACTGCCCTCTACTGCAACTATGGAGGGGTTGGGTCACTGGTAAAGTGACCCCACCCCAACCCCCCCATGGTAAAGTGACCCCACCCCAACCCCCCCATGGTTGCAGTAGAGGGCAGTGTTACTGATTTCCAGAGAATCCAGAAACTTAAACATTCCTGTCCACATGTTTGTGAGGGAGTCACATCACCTTGCCAGTCTGAAAAGTTGCTCAATGAAGATCGATGGTGCCATTTCATATGGATCAGTCAATGCCCAATGGCGACAGACAGAAAGACATTTTGGTGAAACATTATGCAAGACAGCCAATCACTAGTGACTTTATATCTTTACACGTATACTGCATGCTGATTAGCTCACAGACACCCAAAACAGTAAATCTCAGTATCGTAATATGGCACCGAAAGAAAATTAACTTTTTGATCCTCAATAGGATTGAAGCATTTCAAGCGGTACCATAAAAGTAACAAAGTTCGGTACCCAGCCCTCTCTCGTACTGAGGGGGGTGGGCTCAAATCAGTTTATTATGGAAAGGAAAATTAAGCTCTTTGGAACCAGCGACTCATGCAGATAGCCGCTGCCCAGCATAAATATGCAGGGGAACATTATGTGCTAGCTGCCCAGGTGGAGGTTGACAGTGTGGGTCCACGGACTCCATGCGCTGCCAAAACAAATAACTACCGGGAACAGAGCGACAAAAAGCAGTGCAACAAGTTCATTAACAAATAGCCTCACTGGCATGGTTAGCTTTGCTCCCCCTGTGTGCCAGAGTTTCACTGTCTGAAACTCAAAGCCCCCTAAAGCATTGTCACTTAACACCACCAGAGCATTCTTCTGAAGGGGCCAGCTCTGTGCCCACTTGTCCATGAGATCATATCAGCGTCTTAATCAGAGAGGAGCTGATACAGAAGTCTTTTTTTACAAAGACCAGTATTAATGAACATGGTATGCTGACAGCACACTGTGTGACAAGGGCCCATTCAGTGCCGTTGTTACTAGCACTAACTTGCAGGTTTTGATCCTGCTTTCAGAGGTTTGCTATAGTTGATGACCTCCTGGCTTCTGTTGCATATCTGGGCTGAAGGAGACCCACAGGAACCTCCCTAACACCCCCACCATCCGGTTTCTCAAAGCTAGGTCCCGATTATTCTCACAGCTGCATAGAGCACTGGATCTTCTGCACTGCTGACACACTACTTAAACAGGTATTTACAAACCAGTATCCTCTAACCTACCTACCACATTATCAGCTGACTGACTCTCTAGGCTAGAAAACAGGCATGCTGGAGTGACCTGCAGTCAAACATCTGGGAAACGCTGCTTTGGACACAGCCCAATAACGTGAAGGCTACATTAGGTGAGGAAATGCATTTCAAACAGGATTAGAGCAGAGAAATCCCAGGCGCTGGCACTCGGCTCCACGGAAGACTCCCAGTCATTCTGTGTTTCACAGAAACAAAAGGAATTCCAAGAGAAGACAGTCATGTTCAGATATACCATCGGTTTTTTTCTTCTGAGCTTACAGAGGTTTGGAGGCTTACAGACACTATCCCCAAAAAGGAGACGTTTTTAAGTGACAGGACTCTTTGCCATTCCCAACACTGCTAATTAAACGCAATTAATAAAGAGCATAATCAATGACTAATCAATGCAACAATAATCAGCAAGCCCAACCTGCAGAATACAAACGGGGATATGAGACAGGCCTGCAATTTATGGCCTCTCCTCTCCTAGAAAACAGCACAGAAGCCTCACGAAAAAAAAAAAAAAAATGATGAACAGGAGTTTTGCAACAAAATAATTTCCTTCATGTCACTGTCCTAAACTCTCACCATGCCAACCCACTAAACAGGCTATCCTTAATCTTCACAACAGCAAGTAGTACAGTTTTCCTCCTTTAAAATCACACTTAATGCAATAACCAGCTGCCTTCTGAGCTAGGCCCACAGCTCGATTGATGTCTCTCAGGGGGACTCAGATCTTGTCTTGAAAACAAAAAAGGAACCTTAACTATCGACTAGTGAAAGGGAGTCATATAGCAGAGGACAAAAGAGCCCTTAAACACTAAGCCTGACCACTAAAGAGGACTATGAACTAACCCAACTAACAACCTGAATGGTAATGATGCCCTACGGATGAGAGGCTGCCCCACTGAGACTCTTACCTGTAGTATCTGGACTGCAAGTACGTGGAGCACACAGCCTTGGAAACGTGGCTGGCAGATCCAAAGTCAATCACCTTGACCCGGTAGGGTTGCCGGGTGGGATCCACCAGCATAATGTTCTCAGGCTTCAGGTCAGCGTGGATAAGGCCCAGGCTCTTGAGCTTCATGAGGGCCGTACCCACCTGCTGTAGCACAGGCCGGATGTACTTGAGAGGCAGGGGGTTGAACTTGTTCTGCTTGAGGAAGTCGTAAAGATTCTGCTCCAGCATTTCAAACACCAAGCACGTGTGACTCTTGTGCTGGAAGCACTCGTAGGCGCGCACAAAGTTGTAGTCGTCAGCGCTCTCGGTGCTGAGGCGCGCCAGGATGCTGACCTCGATCTGGCCTTGGCGTGCATAAGACGGGTGGTTCTTCAAGATCTTGATAGCCACAATCTCACTGGTGCCACGCTTCCAACACTTTACCACCTGGCCGAAGGTGCCGCGGCCCAGGAACTCCAACACCTCATAGGTGTTGGTCATGGAGCAGAGGACCTCGTGCTGAACCAGCTGGTAGTCACCCTCGGACCCACCAGTACCACCATTCTTGGAGGCGGCTGTGGAAATGGCTGCAGCAGCCACAGTGGTAGCTGTGGTCTGGATCATGGCCGGGTGCTCTTCAACGATCTGCACACTGCTGTTGTTGGCTCCGTCCAGCTCCTCACTCTTGCGCTTAAGCCCACATCGCTGGTAGGTGTCCAGCAGGCTCACAGTGCTACGCCGGGTCAGGTTGTGGAGCTGGCCAGTGCCACCCACTGCCGCTGCTGTGGCCGCCGCCACACCACCCGCCTGGAAGACGAGTGCCTGCTCGTAGGGCAAGGAGGAGCCAGCGAGCTGGAGCGGGGCGCTGACGCCCACCTGGGGGGCAGGCACAGTCTTGCTGCTGACACTGTATGCTTTGCCGTGCGTACCGCAGCCGGTCATATCCCAGGCAGAACTGCGCTCCACCTTCAGCTTCTTCACATTAAAGAAGGCACTTGACTGGAGAGTGTGGGGGGAAAAGACTTGCACTTGGGAGGCCATACCTGAGTGAGACAACACGAGAGGACAGAGATGAGGCGGAGTAGAAGCCAGAAACTCAGTCAGGGGCCACAGATGCAGAAAGCCCCAAACCAGAGCAGTCCATCTTCAAATTCAACTCATTACCTCTCACAATTGTCACAAAAATTACTCTTACAGTGGTAACTAACAAAACTGTTTTACGGACGAAACTCTGGCAAGTCTTGGGCTCTCTTCCCGTGGTGGCCCCACACTGCCATCAACAAAAGAACTGCATGTTTACATACAGCACAGAAGACAAATACTCCCATTTTCAACCTCATTTCATACAAGTGGCCTTCACTCTGCATAGATGTGATGCTGGTCATTGCAGATAGGTGGTGGTGCTGATGGGGGTACAGATCAACTTTAAGTCCTCTTTGTTCCAGTGACCCTGGGAGCGAAACTACATAGAATGGATGGAAACAGAAGACGAGTCATGGGAGCAGAACAAATTATACCAGCCTTATCGTGGCACAATAAAGAATCTCATACTGTCATATCTGGTCCTCATTGAAGACAGAAACACTTCCAGGGAGGGACGGGGGGGGGGGAAAGAAAAAAAAAGACAACAGGTACATATCTGATAAACTTCTCAATCTCAGGAGCCAAGAACAACCAGCAAATAAAGAGCGCGACCTTCCTGGGAATGGGGCCTGGTGATGAGCGCAGCCTCTTTGAATGGCACACTAAAAATAGTGTCCCCACAACATGCTATTTGTGCTGTCAAGACAGTCGTTACCTTACAGTCAAGCAAACATTTGGGAAATCTTAAAACGGCTGCCATTCAGGAGCGAGCTGGGAATGAGGGATCAGCAATGGTCCATTAGCACTGATGCTCACATGGCCCAGAAGAAAGCATTCATTGGAAGCTTGTCTGGGAAGTGTGTGTGAAGGAAACCGTCTCAAGAGGGTTCCTCAAAATGTGCTGAAAGACTTGATCAAAAAGCCCTAACCTTCACAAAGGCATCACCCAGAATAACCCACCTGCAAACATCAGGATTATTCTTCTGAAGTCATCATTGCCTGAATTAGGCAACCACTCCGAGTATTGACTAGGGGCGTTTTTCCACCGCACCAGGTACCGTACTTTCGGTACTTCCATGAAGTGCCGAAAGTTTGGTACTTCTTTCATGTCGGTTTTCCACTGGCGTAAAAAATGGTACCGGTGCCAAATGACATCATCAGTGACCGCCCCTGACTGACAGCACAAAATTAAAACTAATAGTTGAGGCTGGAAAATGCGGTTTATTGTTATGACAGCTTCTATCACAGTATAAGATTTAGTAAAATCCTAATCATGCTGCCATCAATTACATTTACGTAGGTACACTTACTTTGGCTAAGCCGATCAAAGCAGTAAGAATTAACTTACTGCTAATTCAGTCTTTTGAAAGCAAACAAATAATTTAATTATGTTTTTTGATTTTCAAGCGGCATTGTTCGGTGTTTCGCGTGTGCCCCATTTCTTCCAAGCGGCTTGGTATTACGGTGTTCCGGGCAATTCGGTTTCCCCTGTTTATCCTGAAATAATTTTCCCCCTAATATTAAAGCAAAGAGGTATGTGAAATGTCTGAAAATCACTCAGGTACATTATTACATGTGAATACAGTAGATCGTCACGCATAATTATAGTCTTATAAGCAATACTATACCGTTTTCATCAAGAAATATCTATATCCAGAGAATTAAGTAATTTCATTTATTATCTGTAAAAACAAAAAACATAGAAAAGGGATGTGATGTTTTAAAATTAATATATAATAATATGTTTACCTCAAGAGCTTCGTAAAAAGACATGAAAACAACAGCTAAACTGTGTACAAATCAGCGCGCGACAGGGGAAACATAGGGAAACTGAATTGCCGGTGTTCCGGGCAATTCGGTTTCCCTGTGTTTCCCCTGTCTATCAGGAAATAATGTTTCCCCTAATATTAAAGCAAAGAGGTATGTGAAATGTCTGAAAATCACTCAAGTACATTATTACATGTGAATACTGTATTGTTATTAGTTCCGAGGCCCAGAGTTGCTGTATACCT